TAATAGCTGTATATGGATGGGTCAAACAATCCTGCACGGTCTGTCAAAATATGAAATTGGTCACAAAAATACTATTATTATAAGCTTACATTGGCAAAGAGACCGATGTAAATTAGTGGATACCTTCTTTTTTAGGCATATCAACTTCCCTTAAAGGTGGGGTAGGTAAGTTTGAGAAACCGGCTCGAGATACACTTTTTGTTATATTCCATGGAATGCTCTTAACATCCAGATAGCAATGAATATCTTAAGTGCTTTGACAATAAATCCATAAAGAAATGTCATCTGTGGAAGCCATAGTACTGTAAAAAGCACAACCAATCATCTGAGCCGGCCCGGCTAAAATAACTGGATGGCCTACCTGCCTGTCAGCCTTCCATCTGTGCACAAACTTATCTCGTGCCCTCATTGGTGATGTGCACGTTTGTGTGTGTTGGAGGAGGGGCTCTGTAAGGAAGTGGCAGATTTTTTCCGGTTGTGTATTTTCAAATTCTAGCGCACTCGAGCTGGTTTCTCCAAAATTACCTACCCCAACTTTAAGTGCTCACAGTGTAAGATATGCAGTGAACTAAGGGAAGTGTCCACATTGAGACACAGAATATGAGTCCAATGGAGTCTTATTACAAAGTAACAGTTTACTCTAGTTAATGTAAAGACATTTTCATTAACTCTATACATTCAATCTATTTTAGTTTAAGGCACCATTTTGCAGGATAGGAGGTGAAATAATGTTTTATCAAACTCTTTTTAAAGGGAAGAAAGTATAAATCTATGTCATATAGAGTGGAGCAGAAAGGTAATTAGCCTAGCTTAATTGACGACTAAACGCAGAGGTAATAACCGTAAAAAAAGACTTCTTAATATCCCTAAATGTTAAAGTCTTCATTCAATCCTTAAACAGTAATTAAAAAAATTATAGTTTGTGGTTTTAGGGAGAGTTATGTGTTGCAACAATTTTTCCAAACCATGGGCTAGCAACCTAGCTATGATGCAGAAGAACCTGCTAAATGGATTTGCTGTTCTTCTTCAAGAAGTAGTTTGAGCTTAAACTGTTAATACGTTTATTTCTTCAGCCAAGATCCAGGCTATGGTGAAAGTGTATACATTAGTAAGCTTATATTACCCAACATTGAATTTCAGGGGCTAGCCTATATCTAAAGAAGGCATATTTACCATAAGGCCACTATTTGACGCTGCTTACTGTAATTCTACTAATTGAGTTGAGTAAAAGGACTTATATTCACAGTCACTCAGATACAGGAATTGGAAATGCTTATGAGGAGGGTCTCTGACCTTCATGTACAGGTCCACTCAGTGCTGATGGAGGCGTTGCTGATGAAGGTTCCTGTAGAAGCACAGCTTTTGCAGGTCCCGGTAATGGGGTTGTGGTGAAAGGCTTGGCTGAAGAGGTAGAAAGGGGTCGACATACATTATCTGTCTCTCTAGTCCCCGACGTGAGCAGCCCCTGAGCATGGCAGATCGTGTGGGTTCGGCACTTCAGTGAACTGGAGTCTGAGAAAGTTCCCTTGGTGCATGGCTTACACACCACATCGTCTGTTTCACTGCCCCGCCTCCTAACCCTGGTCCCTGGTGGGCACAGCGAGTGGGGCTTACACTCTGTGCCCCCAGCCCCAGACAGGAAGCTGTTGGTGGGACATGTGCAGACTCGGTCCTGGGTGGGCTTGCAGGTTGCTTTCTCAACGAAACCCCCCGGACACGGACTCCGGCAGGGATGGCATTTCTGCAGCCCGTTCTCCCCCCGTGTGAAGGTGCCTTCAGGGCAGCGGCTGCACTCCCTCACGGCTGTGAGGGAGCAGTGGAGCGACACGTGGGTTCCTGCCGGGCACTTGTCACAGTCCAGCTGGGTGCCCGAGTCGGGGTCCGTGTGCTGATACTGTCGGGGGGAGAGGAGGGCTGGGTCGGCGGGGCTGGTAGTGTTTAAAACCCGGGCCGAGATGCCAACCACCACGGAACAAAAGAGCTAAGGAGAAGGAAGAGAAGAAAGAGGGGAAGTTTAGGAGGAATCAATAAAATTGTATTTTATGCAACAAAATTCCCAAAACATCCCACACTACTTAGAGTAACATTTCTGAAATAACTTATCAATTTGGCCAGCTGGCGAAAGCAAAAACAAGTTCTGAAGACAACATTGATATATCATCACCTTTAAATTTTGAAATGTTGCCTATTTACAGATCCAGCAGTCATATAGAACGATAAACAAGTACAAGTCACAAGATATGAGTGCTTTTAGCTCTGATAATGTGCCAAAAGGCTAAAATACAACCATACTCACAAAGGTTTATACCTAATGGGAACATTACAAAATGGTTGTCAGTTTTCCTTTGTAAATGTTAAGATTTTGAAAGAAAGCTGGCAAAGCTTGTGGCACTAAACAGGGTTCTTACAATAAACCGACATAGGCAATAAACGTGATATTTTAAAATGAAATACTGATGCTAATAATACATTTATAATAATTCAGTGCTTCTTAATTAATTTATGTTTCTTTCCGTTCTCTCTTTGTCTCCTTCTTCAAACCCCCCACACAAATTAGTGTTATAAATTTGCCAAAAAAGATTGTCATCCACAGACCATGAATACCCACATATTTATTAGTGATCAGCGGTTTATCTATCTTATGCCGGATTAAAGGGTTTTAACAGATAAATGGACTGACAGATGGACAGCTCACTGACTCAGAAAAAGGACAAAAGAACCCAAAGCGCTCATTCCAACATAATTGAGACTCCTTTTCCATTAAGATGCATTTATATTGGTTTTAACACATTGAATAAGACCCACACAACTAAAGCATGTTGTTGCCCAATCCAAAATAGTCCCCTTACAAACAGTGGGTAAGCCATGCAAAGATTTATCATTACAATATTTGGTTGGACACATCCCAGGCAGCAGACATGAATGTGTTTAGGGTTACATGGACTCAGGAAAGTCCAATTTACGGAGCTACCATTTAGCTTCCCAATGGATGGTGTTTCTTTGATGAGATTTGTAGGGAAACATCTCTTTGAAAACCCATTTAATGCAGCTTCATTGTATGTTCCAAGTCCCTTGACTCATTCTGTCCCTCTTAAATTAAGTGCCCGGCAGTGCAGGGAGGGGGGGGTTTGAAGACATGCAATATAACTCTGGCTTTACTTGTTTTGCTTTTGTTCAGTTACCTCTGCTGGGAAGCTGACAGCTCACTGGGTTTAGGGGAATAACCCACACATGTCTAAAGGACTGAGTCTTGTTGGAGGAATACCATCATAGGCAGCCTCCTATTACATAATGCCCGAGGGCTGACAGTGTTGTACTGTCTCTTGTTTCCTTTGTGGAAAAATTAAACAGTCTTAGTGAAAGTTATTTAGAAATGTATTGTAATTGTAGTTCAACTCATGTTGCATTTAACTTGTGCTTGTATTGCATTTTTCAATCATCATATTTTAACCCTCTTTCTACTCAATTGAGAGAGGCAAAATGTCTTGACCTTGACACCATCCTCTCAATCACCAATGCACTTCTAAGTCTCCCACATTCTGCGCCCTGTCTGGCAGCCCAGTCCCGGCAAGAATGATGACTCTGATCTGACACAGAAGCCAAACAGGAGGATACACAGTGACAGTGTGTGTGTCAGTGTGTTCTTCCCTGCTGAGTGTGTTTTCAGACAACGATTAGCAACCCTTGTGTGTGCATGCAGAACAAACAGTTCTGGTGGGATAGAACTGATGCAGTGAGGGGAGAATTCTGCTGATGACGCACATTACCTTGTGTGAATCTGAACTGTTCTGTTCTTCACTCTCACTCTGTTGCTGCTTTAACTCCTGAATTTCCCCACAGGGATAAACAAAGGTCCATCTTGTCTTACATTACTGTTGGTCATCTGTTAGGACTGAACAGACACTTTGTTTAGGGTCATACCCAAGGGCGTCACTTTGGGTTGAAAAGTGGTGGGGTCATAGGGGGTCAGAAGATTTATAATGTTGCACCATGCATTTGGGGGAGGGGGCAGATTGATGTTGGATTGGATTATTTCCAAGATTGGGAAAAAACAAGAATCAATGTTAATAATGTTTTAAGTTGAATGCATTTTGGTCTATTTTTCATTATGTAAGATATTGGATTTCTTTAAACTAATGCTGTCAAAATTATCGCGTTAACGACGGTAATTCATTTTTTTAATTAATTGCGTTAAAATATTTTACGCATTAAACGCATGTGCAGAATGGCCCGCCCCATACATCCCACCAGTGGCAGCGCCAGGGTATGGCTGGGGTAGGCTACACCCATACCAAGAAATGGCTTAGCCCCACCATGAAAAATGATGTTAAAGTAAGCAAAATAAAGTCAGTTTCACAAAGTTTCAGTAGCCACTTATCTGGAAATACCGAAGACCAGAAACGGTTTTGAAAACTTTTGTCACGTAGTGATCGTCTTCTCAATAGAACATCTTTGATAATGTCTTCTGGACAATCAGAATCAAGATAATGGCGTGGTGTTGTTGCAGGAAGTCCCGACGGAGAATACTTTTGCTGTAGTACAGGGGTGCACATAACTGCTCCGCAGGTTATGTGCGTAATCTGAAATGCGTACCGTCACTTGTGTCACAAAGCGCATTTGCGTACCAACGTACTTGTGAAGCTTTTCCAGAAGGCGGTTAGATCACCGCACGACAGAGTCGGTCTCCGTGTGCACAGACCGGGCTGCTGTTAACGTCGGTCTGCACAACGGAATTGTGCCAAAACTACGCCAACCGGCTGCGGAGGGAGACTCCCCCCCTTCACTGGAGAACTGCGCTAAAACAGCTGATCACAACGTTCACCATGGTCACAAAGTACTCCACTACCCCCCCCCCGTCGACTTTCCTGAAGTACTCCCCCGTTGATAGAAATCAACACGTAATGAATTAATAGGTGTGTGGGCTGTCTTTCATTTTGACACACAGAATTGTAAACATACAACATGCATGTTAAATGGATATATCCGCCTTCTTTCATTTATCTTTCCATTCCCACAACAATATACATAAAGAAATGGCA